ACCCTTTAACTAAATCACATTTAGATTCTGCAGCCGCCATGCTGTAGCGGCTGGGCGATTCGAACATCCTGGGTTCAGGTCCTGACGAAGCAGAAATATTTTTCCTGGAATATAAACCTTGCTCCCAGGTCGACCCACCCTTAACTGGTACCAGGGGAAATCTTTGGAAGTAAAGGTGGCCTGCGTGATGTTGACAACATTACTCTTCGAGTGCCGATTAGTCTCAGACATACAGATCTGGCCGTATATGAACAATACGCCTGAAGGACTGGAAAAAACAGGGAGGGGGGGTGGTGCTGGGTGGTCCTTAACTTTACTTACAATCTGTTTTTAGCAGAAGAATAGATTGCACGCATGCATTATTTGTACTAACACACGCTTAAAATAATTAAATACAAAAATAAACTAAACAATATGATTATGGATCAAGAGAAACAAAACTGTTGATAGAGTAGACAAAAAGAAATAATGGGCTACTCTTGTATTCATGTACCAAAACTCACTAAGCGCAGTGACATACTGGATGTATTTACAATCAGTGCAGGGATCAAGTATTGTGTTATCTTTCATATTTGGACCCGTCGTTAAGTTTCTTTGTCATAGTTCAGTGAATATCTTGATACTAGATAACTGCATTGACCCCTGTTTTATCAACTTTGACTGTACATGTGTGTCTGCCAGCGACACATCTTTCTTACCACTTTTGACTGTACATGTAAGTCTGACAACGACACATCTTTTTTATCACCTTTGACTGTACATGTATGTCTGCCAGCGACACATCTTTCTTATCACCTTTGACTGAACATATGTGTCTGCCAGCAACAGATCTTTCTTATCACCTATGACTGTACATGTATGTCTGACAACGACACATCTTTCTTATCACCTTTGACTGAACATGTATGTCTGACAACGACACATCTTTCTTATCACCTTTGACTGAACATGTATGTCTGCCAGCGACACATCTTTCTTATCACCTTTGAATGTACATGTATGTCTGCCAGCGACACATCTTTCTTATCACCTTTGACTGTACATGTATGACTGACAACGACACATCTTTCTTATCACCTTTGACTGTACATGTATGTCTGACAACGACACATCTTTCTTATCACCTTTGACTGTACATGCATGTCTGCTAGCGACACATCTTTAGTCTAATACTAGTTGGATTGATGCCCAACAAGTGGTCGTGAGTGTGTCTTTCCATTATTCGTAAAACATAAGTTTAAAAAAACTAACAGACTGTGAACACGTTTAGGATGTCCTCTGGCCAGTGACGTTAGAGTCTATGCCATTCTTTAAGAGAGTTCTGGGGTCTCACTGAATGGAAAAAAAAGAACATACATCCAGGTGCCCTAAAAATTGTGACACAAGAGTCGAAAATTTGAGGGTTCCTTTTAAAGTTTGACTGTATCTGCAGGAAAGGTTAGGAACCATTAGTCTGCATACAAATAGGCCAGATTTATAAAACGAATGTTCACGCAAAACTCAAGTTCTGGTGTTTAAACTAAAGTCCAGAGGTTGATGATCAACTAGAACTTTTTCGCAACAGTTTACCGCAGGTGATCACAAAGAAGATAAAGGCTGAAAGATAAAAACATAACGAAGTAGCGGAAATAGACCCAGAGGTGACATTAAAACAGACTTCTCATGAAAGAGTTAGCAAAGGTACCTTGGAGTGACTGTAACATCGAGGGAATGATTAAGAAGGGAATGCCTAATTTGCAGTGACGTCGATTGGAGACTGTGATCATCATCATAATCATTAAAAAAAATGTTGCCGTTAAGCTACGTGAGAAGGAATAATTTGCGATCCAGTGCATGCTGACTGCCATTGGCTGTTGTCATGCCGTGAACGCGTGGCGTATCTTTAACGTTTTTGATCCATTGTTTCGCGGAGTCCTCTTGCTCTTGTAGCTGACCTTCTGACAGGTACTGCTTGTCGACTGTGATAACAAAACGTCCCCTGCATGTGCTTTCTGTGTAGACCCAACAATGTTATGCCCTGAAACAAACCACCTAATTAATTCATTGACAAATGTGTTGTGTGTACAAGACCGTTGCTTTTTTTTTCTGTATGGCAGTACTACAAGAGTCGTATGTTGGACTTGGTTGTGGCAGTGCCGGATATTTATGGGGTTAAGTGGTCTCGAGACAAGGCGTCCGCCTCAAACGCTGGCCCAAACCTTGTTTAAGTGCACAATAATAATAATAATATTAATAATAATATTATTGTCTTAATTGACAAACAATTTACACATATATTAGAGAGCTGGAGGTCTCGAGTTCAAGCCCCGTGAGCAGCATGATAATAGGTAACACCTGGTTTAAACACCATCCTCGAAGATTGTGGACTTGGAAAAGTCCTGGTGATAATGTCCGCAATCAGATTGATTATATTTTGATTTCAAGAATATTCCAGAGCAGTTTAGTTGGAGCAAAAACTAGACCAGGGGCAGACAGCTTTAGTGACCATGTTCCAGTTGTAGGAAAAATTATAATAAAACTAAAGAACATTAGAAAAACACCACAGAACATCAATTTAAATTTAGGAATTCTTAGAACGGATAAAAAAATTAGGGAACAGTACAATGTCACTGTACAAAACCGGTATAATGCAATGGAAATTATACAGACTATTTATGAACAGTGGGATATGTTGCGTGAGTCAATTCAGCAGACATCAAAAGAGACAACCCCACCAACCCATAGAGTTAGGAAAAAAAAATGGATGTCAACCGAAATTCTGCAGTTGATGGATGAAAGAAGGAAGAAAAAGAATGATAAAGAAGAATACTCTAGAATACAAAAAGAAATAGTGAACAAATGCAAAGTGGCTAAAGAAGCCTGGCTGAATCAAATGTGTACAGAGATTGGGGAAAATCACAGGAAAGACTCACATTCCATGTACCAACAGATAAATATGTTAACAGGAAAGATGACACGTAACAGAACTGGATGTTTCAAATCAAAAGATGGTGACCTAATAATGGGACATAGTAATATAATTAACAGATGGACAGAGTATATAGAGGAATTGTATGATGATAATAGACCAGATGTAGAACTGCAGATTAACAATGATGGTCCACCAATAATGACTGCAGAAGTTGAAGATGCAATATATCATATGAAGAAAGGAAAAGCACCCGGGCCAGACAACATCTCACTGGAAGAAATCGAAGCACTGGGAGATTTTGGAATTGAAATAATAACTAAACTTTTAAATGATATTTATAATAGTGGGTATATTCCAAATGACCTTTTAAAATCCACATTTATAGCTCTGTCAAAGAAACCAGGCACTTAAAAATGTGAAGACCACAGCACAATAAGTCCTATGAGTCACATGACTAAGATTTTACTGAGAATAATTATGAGAAGAATAAGAAACAAAATTAAACCAGAAATCAGCGATGAACAATGTGGATTTGTAGAAGGAAAAGGTACAAACAATGCCATATACATCCTAAGGACATTGTCAGAAAGAGCTATAGAAGTAAAGACTGATTTGTACTTATGCTTCATAGACTATACAAAAGCATTTGACTGTGTGAAGCATGAAGAAGTAATCAAACTATTAAAAAAATTAAACATTCATGGGAAAGATCTACGAAAAATAAAGAATATGTATTGGCAGCGAACAGCAGCTATAAGAATAAACAACTGTTTAGGTACATTTCATAGCATAAAGAGGGGCGTACGACAAGGATGTGTACTGTCACCTGATTTGTTTTCAATATACAGTGAATATATAATGAGATCTTTAATTGATATGCCTGGAATTGTGGTTGGTGGACATATGGATTGTTAATCCTGGACAATCGGTAGGCAGGCCAAACAATTTTTAGGGGCCTCAAAGATGTGGTTTTACAGAAGAATGCTTAGAATACCTTGGACAGCCAAAAAGAGCAACAAGGAGGTTTTGTAAGAGGCGGGAGCACGAAGACAACTTATCACAGACATCAGAAGGAGACTCATCATTTTTCGGTCATGTTATGAGAAGAGGGAAAATAGAACATGTTGTGACCACTGGAAAGATCTGTGGAAGGAGGGATAGAGGAAGACAACGAGAGAAGATGCTTGACAGTCTTGTTGCATGGCATGGAGGTGTGTCGGCACACGAACTGATACATGCTGCAGGCGATCGCAGATTATGGAGAGGCATGATCGCCCACGCCAGTCGGCAAGGCACCTGATGACGATGATAAATTCAAAATATAATAAATGTGCAGTTCTCTTTATATATATCTATATATTGTTTACTTTTTCCAGAAATGTTCCGGCTTTATTAATAACAATTTGAATCAATTATGTTATAATTTTATTAACTCGAACGAGTTGCAGCTTAAATACTGAATAAAATTAACAACTTGATGTATGTCAACCTCCATCATTGGTTTAACTGGGTCACCTCACGTCACACACTGCCTCCTTGATTATATAATTGATGTGGTTTTGCAAACATTTCCTGTATTATTTGTTCTACACAGAATAAACGGCAGTCTAATCCCTGTATTCATATATTACCTGTATCCATATATTTCCTGTATACATATATTTCCTGTCTCCATATATTTCCGTTATCCTTAGGGAAGATTATAGATTAGGGCCTTATAAAATCTAATTCGGACAATAAAAAACTAAACCCCACCTCCCCCCCCCCCCCCCCCCCCCCCCCCCCCCCCCCCCCCCCCCAAGTGGAAAGCCTTGCAACCAGCCTTCACTGTGGATGCGGCACAATGTTTTATCATTAGTCTTTATCATTTCATGCAAAGTAACAGAGACTGTCTGTTGGTATTCCTTCACATAATGATAGAACTATAAGCGACTTATAACTTCAACCAAATATTTATTACATCTCAGAAGATATTTCACGCTATAATATAACAAAAAAGAAGAAACGTATCTTGGCAGATTTTGTTCTTAACATTATAACTGTATTATTAGTCTGTATTCAAATGTTTACAGCGCGTTGTCAGCTTTTATCAGTCTATATCACAACTGTGATTTGTCAAGTTGTCTTTTTGTGGAGAATAACTGAGCATGGACACTCCAGAAATGTTGCATGCAGAATCCTGCTTTTGTGAATCTCGTTTTGGGTTCTTGACTTTGTCATTTGTGGACTTTGCATCACTTGAACGGTTTCTTATAATAAGAAAGTGCAGTTTACTTTTTGGTTGAGATTGTTCTCGCTCTCCTGGCCGGGTTTCTAACACAGGGTGTATGGTGTTGCCATTGGTAGCACTGTCCTCAATGCCAGGTGTACTATTCGCCATAAGATTGGGGTCTATGCGGAGAATAAACTCTCCGTTAGTATTAAGCACTGTTCCATTTGTCTCTAATTCAGCAATTGCAGAAGACATAATTTCCGACTTGCACCTGGCGTTCAATGATCTGAAAAACATAATGGTTTTTTCTTTACATTATAATTATTTTGATAAAAGGAAGCCAGTGAACATTTACAAAAGTAATATTTATTACATCCGTTTTTATTCAGCGTGGGAAAAAGTCAAACTGTAGCTAGATAAACATAATGAATGGCACCTTTCCGTCTTTCCAGACGATAGTGTTATATTGAACTATGAGGTATGTCTCATACCTATGAGACTCACAGCCCATGGCGATGGCGAGTGTGACTAGCAAGACCCGCCAGTGTCAAGAAAAGTCTTCCACAATGATAGCATGGGATTTCAGGACCATTGTTGTCAACATTTGTGTTTCATCCAGGTTTTTTTTCTTCCAGATGCTTAGCTCTCATCCTTTCTGCGATCATTTCTTCCTTCACTCTCACTCCCTTCCTGCTATGCCCTCTCCAAACAACACGGTCCATGGTATTTTGTTCCCATGAGTTCATCCCAATACCTGTATCATTCATGTCCTGCTAGCACACATCTTTATATCGTAGTAGAGGTCGGCCTTGACATCTTCTTCCTGTCTTTATTTCACCATAAGAGTCCCCAAGGGACTCTGCCATCCTCCATTCTCTAGGTGTGACCCAGCCACATGAGCCTTCGAAGACTGAGCATGGAAAAGACTGTTGTAGTACCTGCTTTTTCTAGTACCTCAGTGTTTGTGATTTTGTCTTGCCACTTAATGCCAAGTATTCTTTTTAGGCATCGCATGTGGAAGCTATATAGCCGTCTCTCATGGTGCAAATAGGTTAGCCAAGTTTCACTGCTATAAAGAACGCAGATTTGCAGGTCATTCTGGGTTGCAACAGAGACACCCCAGTGGTGTGTATGCGATACATCCTTGGTTTGCCGACGGTTGCAGGTAGGCACAAGGTGCTGCAGGCGAAGTTATATCTAAGGGTAGCTGCCGTCACAGACCACCCCCTGCATGAAGCTCTGGGTGCAGTTAAGGGTCAGCGGCTGATAAGAGGGAGGTCATGGATGGCTCAGGCAAAAGACACAGACAGGTTTGCATCCTTGAGAACATGAGGAGAGGAGTGGGTCAAAGTGCCACCTGAGCAGTCAGACTTGTGTAGAGTCACAATCACGCTGAGCCGGGAATGCAGAGACTGGCCAGCAGGTGCCACAGAGGTGGAAATTCAGCAATTAATTCAAGATAATGCTCGCTCAGAGGATTTGATCATTTACACAGACGGTTCAGTGTCAAGAGGCAAAAGAAGTGCTTGGGGCTTCTTAGCAAAAGTTTTTGATCAACATTTGGTGCAGGAGAGCCTGGCATATGATACCACAACATCCAGCTTAAGAATGGAGGTGGAGGCGGTCACTGCAGCTTTCCGCTGGCTAGAGAACACGATAAACACACACATCGTGATTGTAACTGATTCAGAAAGCATGCTGCGGAATATTAGAACAGGTATGCTTCGTGCAGAGTGGCATGCTTTGCTGCGGAGGACATGAGTGAGGAGTATTTTCTGGATTTTTTTTTTTCACAGGGTCACGCCGGTGTGTTTGGAAATGAACAGGCAGACAGACTGGCTGGCTCTGCACAATTTTGTGGAATACTGCTACATGATAGGGCAGACATGGTTAGTGCCTTGTGGGAGAGCGTGTAAAATTCGGAGGAGCAGATGAATCACCACAGTCTGGTGAGATTGATGCGGTTGGGGGTGACGAGAGGTTCTAGCAGAAGCTCGAGGCTCAGAGGAAAGGCACGACGGACGTTTAATCAGGAAGCTACTGGCACCATTAGTATGGGAACTCTTCGCTGGCTGCTGAAGATGGGGACGGAGCGCTTATGGGAATGTCCCGAGTGCTGTGATGTCGGTTCTTGAATCAAATCAAATCAAATCACTGCCATAAAGCAGAGTGCTGAGAGCACAAGCCTGATAGACAATGGTTTTTGTTTTAATTGTGAGCTTTCTGTTCTCCCAAACTCTCTTTGTCAATCTGCTCATTGTTGTTGCTGCCTTACCTATCTTGATGTTGATTTCTCGGTCCAGCGATTGTTTACTATTCACCGTGGAACCCAGATAGGTAAAATGGTCTACTGTCTCAAGCTCTTCGCTGTCAATGTAGACTGTAGGTCTATCATTGACACCTTGCCCCATAACCTTTTTTTTCTTTTTGATATGTATTCACACACACACACACACACACACACACATACACAGACACACACACATAGTAAAGTAAGTAAAAGTAAAGATCCCCTTTCACGCCCTGAGCGCATCGGGTATATGGGAAGAGCCACCCATATTTTCACAGGCCAATTGGCACTAGGCGTGTAATGTGGTCAGCATTACGCCAGCTGTCTTTGCTTCCCCAGGACAGCCATCCTGGTATCCATTTGAGGCTGGGTCGACCTGCGACGCCCCATACCAAGATAAAAATCCACGCAGCCAGCAGTGGGTTTCTATCGCGGTACATTGGAATTACGAGTCGGACTAAGCAACGCCTAAGCCACGGACGCCGTTGGTTACACCCATGGGACCCCGCCAGCACCGATAAGTATATTTCTCCTACCTGATGTTGTGTTCGATAAAATCTGAGCCGATTTCTTCCTCCTCGGGTGTCAGTCTTAGACCCATAGTCTTGTCCAGAATGACCAGTACCAGGCCGGATGCCGCCATTGACCAGGCGGTGATGACCACAACAGCAAGCATTTGTACTCCTAGCAAATAAAATCCTCCTCCCTGAAACAGAAGAGAGTTACAGATAAAGTTAATTTTTTTTTTTTCAATATATAACAATATTTAAGACAAAGAAGTTGGAGATATATTGAGCACACTCTGAAAAGAAATGAGGAAAGAATTCCAAACAGGCACTGAAGTCGGAAACAAACGGTCAGAGAAAATTAGGTCCATGGGAAACTCCGTGTCAGAAGTTGCATGCAATAGAGTGGAGTGGAGGATTCGAGTGCGAGCCCTGGGTGAGGTCTAGCGACACACAAAACATGATGATGATGAAGATGATTATGATGATAATAGCAGTATTTATATCTTTCCGAGACACAAGAGGACCTAACAGTCCATGAAAAGAAATACACGGAAAAAAATATGACAGATGGAAAAGCTCATCACTGATTTATGACTGAGCGAAGGGAAAACAGTCTAAAGATGCGTATTACAATGCAGCACAGTAAATACTCTGTATGAAAAAACAAGTAAGAGAGGAATGAATATCTAAAGAATTTGGGTCAAAGATAGAAAAAATTTAACTGCAAAAAGAGCAAATAAACTGTGTAAAGTACACATTAGAAAAGATGACCGTACAGAAAGCATTTAACACACACATACACACAAAGCTTAAAAAAGGGACCCCCCCCCCCCCCCCCACCCCCCCCCAAAAAAAAAAAGAATACTTGGAACCTAAAGCTGCTAATGCAGAAGAGAAGAAGCAGCAAGGACAGGTGATACTAGAACGTTGTATAAAATAGCAAAAGATCTTTGCCGGAAACATTTTAGCTTTAATAAAGGAAACCTGAGAGACACCACAGGAGAAAAAATCACAATGGACAGATGGCAAGTATATTTTATCGAGTTGCTAAATAGGCCACCATCAGATATTCCAGCGGAACAGTAGAAAACTGTTGCCAACTCCTAGAAATGGATCTTTGGCCAATCAGCGCTAAAGAAATATAAACTTCAGTAAGCAGTATGAAGAACGGGAAGGCACCATGTGAAGACCGAATTAGTGCTGACAGCAAAAACATTACATGGAATATTCAACAAAATATGGATAAATGAAATGGTCCCAACAGCCTGGGAAAATGGTCTAACCCTCCCACTACTGAAGAAAGGTGATCTCTCACACTGCAACAACTGGAGAGGCATAACATTATTGTCTGGATGCAGAAAGGCACACTGCTGGGTGATATACAACAGAATGAAGACATCAATAGACAGTTTTTTTTTTAAAAGATCAGGTAGGAATTAGAAAAGGCATAAACTACTGTGATCATATTTTCACTCTCAGGAACAATCTTTAGAATGGAGTGCCACATTATGTATACAATTTATAGATTTTGAAAAGATATAACAATGATGTGGAGGATCCTTGCTGTGATGTGTATGGGTTACCAGATAAAGTTATAAACATTTTTAAAGGACTCTACGACGGATAGCAATGCAAAGTGAAAGTGGGACTCGTGGAAACAGAATACCTCAGGTTTTATTTTAACCTTTATTAGGACATTTTATAGTTATATCATTATTGGATTTTCTAAACTGTTTGTTCAGTCAAATCCCACCCTGTCTTCTTGGACATTAGATAAGATAGAACAGAGAAATAAGATGCATGTGGGAAGACAATTGACAAGACGAAGACATAAACAAGGCAATGAGAAAAGCGCGAAAAGCTGAACAAAAAATAAAAGTATAAACAATGCCATCTTTATAGAGAAATCAAATAACAGAAAACTACATTGTCGTGTTGGCAACTGTCTCCAATACAGACCCTCATGTACAAAACGTAAACGGTCACTTTTCGCTTTCATTAAGATTATTAGCATAATACACACACTATGTCATGACCTTGGCGTTCTACAACAATTATTTGAGATCCTGGCATGTAAAACAGATGGAAAACGAAAATGGCGTATATTTGTGTTATAGAATAGTGATTAGCACAAACAGTCAACATCGACACACAATTACAGTAAGTAACCTTGACAAGTCCGTGTGTCCGGGAGAAGTTCTGTGTAATATTGTCCTTGTGGGTAAAGAGGCCTGCTGCAATGAGGCCCCAAATCCCACCTACTCCATGCACGGGGATGGCGCTGACTGGGTCATCGATGTGCAGTTTGACCAGCAAGGCATCACTGGCCATCACCAGAACTCCACCAATGGCGCCGATAACAAGAGACTCCCAGATACCAGTCACGGCGCAGCTGGCTGAACGGTACAGATGGATATAAAATTATAAAAAGTATATTCCATAAAGTATATTAAGATAAAAACAAGTGTACAGTTGTATAAATTACATACTATAAAGCATAATAAGAGTAAAACAAGTATGTAGTTATATAAAGTATATTCTCTAAATTATAATAAGAGTTAAACAAGTTTACAGTTGTATAAATTACGTACTATATTGCAAAGTAAAAGTAAAACAAGTAGGACGCAATATAATGTACATATACTGTTAAATATAGTAAGAGTAAAACAAGTATAAATTTAAACAAAGTATATGCAATAAAAAAGTGTGAAAGTAAAACACGTATAACGTTACATAAAGTCTATACTATAAAGTATAGTAGTAAAACAAATACAAAATTGTATGAAGTATATACTCTAAAGCATAGCGAGAGTAAAACAATTATACCTCTTACATAAAGTATATACTATTAAATATAGTAAGAGTGAAACAAGTGAAAATTTACACAATGTTTATGCTATAAACTATGGCAAGAGAAAAAAAATATATCGTCACATTGTGTAATTATTTTAGAGTAAAGAATAAATAAAACAAGTACACAGTGATGTAAGGTATATATTATAAATATGGTGAGTATAACGTTGTATAAATTATATACTATAAAGTATAATAAGAGTAAAACAAGTATAATGTTGTATAAGCATAAACTGTAAAGTATAGTAAGAGGAAAACAAGTATACATTTGAATAAAATATATACTATTCCGTATAGGAAGATTAAAGCAAGTATACATGTGTATAAAGTATATACTAAAATGTATAGAATGAGCAGCGAACATTTTGCCACGCCCAGTTGCCTAGCGGGCATAAGAAGCCAAACACATATTTTCGTAGATACATCAGCACTCAATGAAACTTTAAGTCAGCATCATATTGGCCGCCCTTAGACCCCACAACTTTATCTGATACTTTTATAAGGCTGGTACGACCTGGAAGCCATAGTTATTTGTTGAGGAAAACAAAACTGATTTGAAAAGAATCTCAACCCAAATGTGTGGACACCGTCTCGCTCCTAGATAAATATATGTATATATGTATAAGTCCTATATATTTATAAAAGACTGTAGCTTAGTCTCTAGAGTTATAGATATACTCAGTTTTGACCCCACTCACATCATTAACAACACTCTTTTTTACTCGTACTAACCCGTTCTGATTCAGGTTCCATAACCTCCTAATACTACACTACGATTTAAATATTTATTACAAAAATAAAAAAAAAGGAATTTAAAAAAAAAAAATAGAAATATTGTTTACATTTTTGGATAAAAAAATATAATATCAAACGTAACTATAGAAGGAAAGGTCACGGGTAGTTATCATACTTTGGATCTTTTCTGCATGTTATGCCAGCGTGGAGGGTAATGAACAGGCAGATAGATTGGCTGGATCCGCATCACTGGGTGGTAAATTGATACATGACAAGGCAAATGTGGCCAAGGCCCTTTTGAAACAACCAACATAGAAATAACAGATTATTATGACCTAGAGAGAATGATGCACCTGGGTGTAACCAGATGGTCTAGCCGACTGACTACACTCAGAGGAAAGGCAAGACGGACGTATAACCAGATTGTGATCGGTACCATCAGTATTGAAACTATGCGCTGGCTATTGAAGATGATGACAGAGCGTGCATGATGACAGAGCGTGCCCCGAGTACTGTGATGTCAATTCTTAACTCAACTCAACTTAATACACACACACTCACACTCACACACATTTTGTATTATGTATTCAGTTGTCGCTTCAGATAATTAAATTACCCAGACTAAAACGTTATTCATTCAGTAGCATGTCCCTCGCGGAACCTCGCTGCCATAACAACCCTCCGGAAAACCTTCCTATCCTGAGCAAGATGTCCTGCGTCTGATACACCCATCTGGAGATCATCTGCCACATCCTGCACCCATCTTCTCCTTGGCCTTCCTCTTCCTCTCTTCCCAGGCATATACCCCTCCATTATTGTTCTCTCTAGACTTCCATGACGTTTCAAGTGACCAAAATATTTCAATTTTCTTTGTTTTATTGTCTTTACTAGCCAACCCTCTTCAATATTCAGCTCTTGAAGTATGGATGCATTTGTTCTTTTCTTTACCCAAGATATTCTTAGAACCTGTCTGTAATATTTATATTCAAATGCATTTATGCGCTGTTCCGCTTGTTTAGTAAGTGTCCAGGTCTCACAGGCGTATGTTGCAATGGGAAAGATGCATGCTCTTAAAAATCTGACCTTTGTAATTCTATCTGTACAATTCCATAATTGATTCAGTTGTTTTAGTCTTTGAAGAGCAATTGATAGTCGCCGTTTAATTTCTTTCATTGTGTCACCATTGTTGGTCACCAGTGACCCAAGATATTCGAAATTTTCCACCACTTCCAATCTTTCCTCATTAACATATATTTCCTTCTCCATGGCAGTTTTGTTTGTATGCATTATCTTTGTTTTTGCTATGTTAAGAAATAAGTTATGATTTTCACTATTTCTTTTGTACATAATTTCAGGTCACCCTTTTTTGGTATTGGAATGAAGATAGTTCTCTTCCAGTCTTTTGGCCAAATACCATATTTCCATATCTTTTCACATAATGCATGATAGATTTTTATGCTTTCTTCTCCTCCCGCTTTAATCAATTCAGCTGGTATCTCATCACATCCAGGTGATTTACCATTTTCAGGCTCCTTATTGCCCATGAAATTTCATCTAATGAAGGTTCAGGTTCTGCCTCTACTGTTACTGGTTCATGTATATCATTCATATCCTCACTGTCATTCATATCATACATTCCGCTGCAGTATTCCTGCCATCTTCCTAGAATTTGTCTAGATTCTGTTAAAGTATTTCCCAACTTGTCACAAATAACATTTAACTGAGGTTGAAAATTTCTTGTCAATAACTTCATTTCCTCGAACATTTCGTAATCTCTTCCATTTTTATGATGCTGCTCTATTTTAATACAGCAATCTTGTACATACTGATTTTTATCCTTTCTTGTGTACTTTCTTATTTCTCGTGTTAAAAATTTATACTTCATCCTACTGTCATTGGTTTCTCCTTTCTTTTTCAGTTCCCTTCGTTGTTTTATTAGTTCTAACGTGTATGGTGTGATTATTAGCTAAAGCTAAAGTTCTCCCATTACCCGAATTCCGTTTTCCTCTAATCGTTTCAGTTTTATACACAGTTCCATTATTCTACACAATTCCATTATTCCCACACCTTACCTCAGGCACTCAAAAGGTGAAAAACCAGAGCTCATTTTTACATAAGCTTTTCAAACAACCCACCCATAAAAACGTTAACTTGATTAACGTCAATCAGTTTAATTTGCCTTAGATAAAAGCATTGTTAATTTTAATTTATTCGTTTCTGTTTTCATGTGTTCATCATTCGTTTAAAACAAGAATGCGAACACAAGCACAGACATGTCTGACAGCTGGCAGTTATGTCTGGGCAGATTTAGAAGCAGCGTGTACAATTGGAAACAATGACGTCATTTGGGTTATTATTGACTGTGTACGTGCTGACTATGTGGGTAGGTGTAGCGAAGTAAAAACATGGTTTAGAAACCAGAGACGACATAACAACAAATTTAAAATACAAATATAGTAAAGTAAAAGCAGGGCTAAGCTAAATCATAGGGAAAGTATAGACAGGGACAAAGTACAATCAGGTGTGAAACGAAAAAAGACTAGGGAAAAAAAAAACATAATTTAAATAATGCGGACACAAACAATAAATTGCACAATTTATTGCTAGGAATATTTCACTGTATCTTGTCAGGTGCGCTACTACAGAGTTACGTCAATATAAGTAAAAGCACAAAATAAATCTAATGGAAATAAAATAGTTTCTTCCGACACATCGTGTGGTTTTAGGCCACCTGAAGGTCACTGTAGTCACGTGACTTACCAGGGTAACTTCAAATCTACAATAAATTCCGTCTTTTTAAAAGGAGGGGGTTGTTGATTTTAATTGTTAAAGCTTCGGTCATTCTCAACAGTCTCCTGTTCTGAGTGTGGTAAACCACACGTATTATTTAAACATAGATAATGCAAAGACAGTCGAAATCAAGACAAAGATAAAGTCAAAGTATAAATTAAGCTAATGCAGAGATAAAGTAAACATACAAATGAAGTTAAGACAGGGATAAAGTAAAGATATAAATGAAGTTGAGACAAAGAAAACATACAAATAATGTTAAGACAGGGATAAAGTAAAAAAAAAAAATGAAGTTGAGACAGAGATACAGTAAAGATGGAAATGAAGTTCAGACTGAAGTGAAGGTGAGATAGAAATAAAGTGTATATGGAGACTGAGGTAAGAGAGAAATGACGTTTAGACTGCAATGATAGTAAGACAGAAAAGAAGTTTAGATTGAGAAAAATGTAAGATAGAAATGGTTTTGATACTGAAATGAAGGAAAGATAAAATGAAATTTATACTAAGATCAAGTACAGATAGAAAAGACTCAGGTGAAGGTAAGATAGAAATAGAGTTTAGTCTGAGACGAAATAAATATAGAAATGAAGTTTAGACAGAAATGAAGGTAAAATCGAAATTAGGTTTATAGAAGGGAAATGGTAAAGACAAAAACAGATGAGAAGCAAAAGCAGGTGTAGAAATGACAAAAATAAATAAAAGAGAAGAACACAGGTGAAGTAGAACAAAGATAGGGTGAAGACTGAGGTTTTATAAAATGTTAGTTGCTTAAGTTTTAAAATACGTTAAAGAACCAAGCCAAGTATTATTATAATTAATAATATTATTATTATTATGCGATTTCATTTTAAGGAACAATTTTAGGTAGTCAGCAGCTGGAATTGAACGCTGCACATTGGCATTACGAAGATCGTTCGCAACACCTAAGCCACAGAAGCCAACTGAGGAATAGGACAAGCGTTTCATCTTCGTCATGAAGCCCCGCAAAAGGAAATTAAACAAAAGGAACAAATTTACGAAAATGTGTGTCACATTTATCCTCATAAATGATTCACAATTATGTACAAAACGATGATTGACAGTTATAAACATATAAAAAGCGTTCCACAATTATTAAAAAAACAAACATTTAAATCAGTGATGCTTTGCAATTAAACATACGAAGCTAATTCAGAATCATCCACACAAAACTGTTTCACAATTACCCACACAAAGCCATGCCAGATTTGCTTTTCATAGTGAAGTTTCACAATTATCTATACATGAAGGATCCACAGTTACCTTTGCAAAGTCGTTTCATAATGATCAAAAACTGTTTCACAATTACTCACACAACGGGCTTTACATTTACTCGCCATAAGTGTTTCACAATTACCAACACAACGGGCTTCACAATTGTTCACAGCAAGTGTTTCACAATTATCCACACAACGGGCTTCACAATTATTCACAACAAGTAAGTAAAAGATCCCTTTCCACGCCTTTAGGTGTATCGGGCATATAGGAAGAGCACCCATATTTTTACAGACCATCAGCACTCAGTGGGTAATGTGGTCAGCATTACACCGGCCGTCTTTACTTTCCCAGGACAGCCCATCCTGGTACCCATTTTAGGCTGGGTCGACCTGCGACGCCCCATACCATGATAAAAATCCACGTAGCCAGCCGTGGGTTTCGACTGCGGTACTCTGGATTACGAGTCGGACTCGCAACGCCTAAGCCACGGACGCCGCCCTTCACAACAAGTGTTTCACAATTATCCACACAACGGGCTTTACAATTATTTGCAAAAAGTGTTTCATAATTATTCACTCAACTGGCTTCACAATTACTCACAACAAGTGTTTCACAATTATCCACATAAAAGGGTTTCTAGTTATGCACAGATACGCATTTCAAAATTGTTCATCAAAAGGTGCTTGCCAATTAGCTACACAGAAGTGTTTTCCAGTTATCCAGACAACGATTATTTATAACTACCTGTGATGGAGACAAGGCCACCGAGGACTCCGTTAATGATCTGTGGAATGTGGAACTTTCGGTTGTTGACAATGTAGCTGCAGTTGAGGAGACAGAAATATACATGTGAACAACTGGTTAATGTCACGAACTGCATAATGTGAACAGCGATATATATCACAGAAACAAATATACATGTATGGGGTCTTCAAAAAAGAAAAAAAAAGTGGGGGGTGGGGGGGGGGAACTCCGTCCTCATTTTCACAATCATATAACGCTCTTGACAGCATTATGCGATTAACAAGGAAGGTTGTCGGCACACGAGCTGACGATGAGCCGTTGGAGACTCATTAAGATCGCTGACGCCAGTCGACAAATGTCATTGATGAAGAAAATACAAGATCGCACAATGTTCTTTAATTATGCTACACAAAAAATACCTAAACATTCTTAGAATACATTAGACCAAGAAGATGAAAAATTATAGCATCCTACATGATCTGACCATCGAGACGAATTGGCTCATAAATAGAACCCTCGCACGAGGCTGAGTTATTTTGACCATCTTAAACGTCATGATGGTCTGCGGAAACCTGTGATGGAAGGCACAGTTTCCGGCAAAAGAAGCAGAGGCAAACCTTAGCGAATGTGGATACAAGACGCTAAAGATACATTGACTGTAAAAACACATAGTCCTGGAAAACTGGCTTGAAAAAAAAAAAAGATAAATTCATGCGTGCTTTGACAAGAGCGACGTTCTGTAAAGAGCTTACTTATTGAAGATGATCATGAACATTATTTTGTGTGTGGCATCTCCACAACGAAAGTTGGTTACAGTGTACGCGCTGATGTCTCTAGGAACATACCACTTCCAGACTCGTTTCTTTTTCAGAGGTTTTATTTTTTAACCCTTTGCAGTAAACGGTCCACTGAGGCAATCGAGCCCTAGCGGAAAAATTAACATTGGCCCACATATTGATCAAGCTTTTAAGAGTTACTAGGTAAAGTTGCTGAGAGATAAAGGCAAGCGGGATGGTGACCACATCGCCACCGCCATCTCTTTTCACACCCCGAGTGCCGATTGATCTATAAAATATCGGTCTACCATTATATGATCAAGACGGACGCCTGGACATGTCATACTGTTACATTTTACAAATAGACATATTTATTTTATCAATATATTTTAGTGAGAGCAAAAAACTTACAATATTTAGTTAAGGCTCTCAACAACAACAACAACAACAACAACAACAACAACAACAACAACAAAAACAAAAAAACAAAAACAGTTAAAGGCATAATCCGACCCTTGGCTTTCGTATATTAGATGCACAAGCTTGTCACTGCTGTGCCACATGATGGCGATGACAAAGAAATGTGGCAAGGGATGTTCCTGAACTTGCAAACAACAACTCACCTACAGCCAAATCCTGCCACGCCTCCAGTAGAGGCAGCCATTAATGTTGTAGCTGCAGCCCTGTGAAAGTGGACGGAACGGGATTGATTAATAAAGTTATCATTATCATTTATTGGTTTGACAAACGAGGAGCACAAGTTATTATTTTCAATGTTATTTTTTCAGATATTATTCACCGAGTGATCTCTCATGTGAGATTCTTTTTCTAGTACTAGTTAACATGCTACAAAAAAAATCTTAGAATGCCGTAAAGTAAGGAGGAAAACAAAAACACATACATTCTAGTTAATCTGAATCTCGATAACATTTGTCTCTAAAACAACATCATATCACCGGGGGGGGGGGGGGGGGGGGGGGGGGGGGGGGTTAAAGTTGCCTGTTCTTTCTTTATAAAACTTTGCAAAACAAGCCTCAACAGTTTTTGGCTGTTTCGATTTTTCTATGCAAATTTACGTTCAATAGTTTGCCATTGCTTACAGAACGGTCGGCTATCGCTACCACTGCAGCCAAATCGCCAGGAGCTAGGATCAAACCAAGTACCCCGGCATTACTAAGTGTGTTGCCCACACCTAAGCCACAGACCCGAAGGCTGAGGTATCTGGCCATGTTAAACGTCATGGAATCTGGAGAGAACGGGGATGGGGGGTACCGTTTCTGGAAACAGAGATAAAAGCAGACCTTCGTAAATGTGGCTACAAGAGTTTTTAGATGCATTGGCTATGAAAGCACACAGGGCTGAAGAACTGTCTAGAAAAAGGAGTTGCAGCGTGTCGTGACGAGAGTGAGGTTCTGTCAAGGACACGCTGATCAACGTTAACTCGTTATTTGGTAATAGAACACCTGTTGACTGTTAAGACCATTAAAAACAGATCATTGATTTGTTGAATATTGATTTGGCAAACATGGGACAGTTGATAATTTTTGCTTTGACAAAAACGGAATACTTAATGCCAAAGATAGAATAAAAGTTGAATTTTGATTTCAAAAACATGGAATAATAGTTGTCGGTTAATTTAAAAAACATACCTTACTAATTGATTGTTGATTTAATAAACATGGAATAATAGTTGGCTGTTGATATGACAAACATACCTTACTAATTGATTGTTGATTTGACAAACACAGAATAATAGTTGGCTGTTATTTTGAAAAACACAGAATTATAGCTGATTGTTGTTTTAACAAAAAAGAAAACTAGCTGGTTGTTCATTTGATAAGCCTAAAATAACAGTTGATTAATGCTTTGAGAAACATAGAATACTAGTTGATTGTTGATTTGATGAACATAAAATAATCGTTGATCTTTGATTCGACAGACACAGTTTACTAGAAAAAAAAAAAAAACCCCAGAAATGATTAATTATTAATTTGCAAGACACCGAAAAATATAAATATATATTTTTTGAGGGAGGCAAATCATCACTTGTATAGTAATTTGAAATACACTTCATTTCTACCACTAATGTTTAGTCCTATGCATACTGTAACATCTATTTTGTACTGTTTTCTTAGTGATACAATACTTGTTTATAAAATTGTCGAATAGGGTTTGTTAAAAGCAAATGTTAACCATTAGTTAACGCTGTCCTGAACTATAAAAAACAATTATGGATTATTTTTGTCTTTCTTTCTTGTTAATTTTATTGTTGCCCTTGCAATCTGGCATTGGTCAGTATTTCTCCCTATAACTCATTATCACCAGTCAAATAAAATATAAATAAATAAATAAATTAACACACTTCAGTTTTCGAAACAGAAGATCTTCCAAGTCATGAGGCCAAACTATATTCTCTTTTGGTCTCAGTAATAAGTTGGAAATTTCTAGACGTCAGCACAAGTTAGAGGGAGTTCACAAGTGAAAGGCCAGTCAAGAAACTGTTAGCCAGTTGTAGAAAATCCACGAGAATTCGTGACGATACTAGAAAATAGAATTTAAGTGTGAGAGTGAATAGCGCTGTGAGACTCACGTGAGGAGAATGGGATTAAGCTTTAGAGAGAAAAGTGAAGTTCAGCCAGAGAGAGAAAGTTAGGTTCATTCTGTTTAGGACAGGCAGAGAGAGAAAGCTAGGTTCATTCTGTATAAGACAGAGAGATATGATTAGGTTCATTCTGTATAAGACAGACAAAGAGAGATAAAGTCGTCCAAGTGTGAAAGGAATGCACAGAGCGGATGTGTAAAACAAAGTGGACGACATTATGTGCGAGGGCGTGACGACGTATGGCTGACAAGAGGGAAAATGCTTGATGTGACGACGTATGACTGACAAGAGGGGGAATGCTTGTTGTGACGACTTATGGCTGACAAGAGGGGAAATGCTTGTTGTGACGACTTATGGCTGACAAGAGGGGAAATGCTTGTTGTGACGACTTATGACTGACAAGAGGGGGAATGCTTGTTGTGACGACGTATGACTGACAAGAGGGGGAAATGCTTGTTGTGACGACTTATGACTGACAAGAGGGGAAATGCTTGTTGTGACGACTTATGACTGACAAGAGGGGGAAAGCTTGTTGATTTCCAAGTAGAGAGAGAATAAAGATTGTGAGCAGCTTACGGCGAGTGGGAACGATGTCGTCTACGTGTTCAATTAAATTAAGGTAGCCTGACTATCTGATTGATTGTGCCCGGCTAGATTGGTGTATCACGGCGTCCGTGGCTTAGGCGTTGGAAGTCCAACTCGTAATTCCAACGTACCACGATCGAAACCCACTGCTGGCTGTGTGCATTTTTTTAAAATCATGGTATGGGCGTCGCAGGTCGAGCCAGTCTAAAATGGGTACCCGGATGGATGTCCTGGGAAAGTAAAGACGGCCGGCGTAATGCTGACCGCATTACCCACCTAGTGCCGATTGGTCTGTACAAACATATATAGCTCTTTCCGTATGCCAGATGCGCCCAAAGCGTGAAAAAGGGATCTTTAGATAGGTATATCAACGTGAGAATTCTTCTCTCGACAAATTAGCGACACAGAAAGCTACAGCGTTAATTGATGGAACAGCAATACAGTTTGATTTCGTGAAACTGCTTCCGTCTTGTGTGCAGTCTTTGTTGGCTGTGTCGACAGGTATAGATGAGGTATCGGGATATTGCAATGCTCCGAGCTGGCTACAAGAAGGAGCATTACAGTGCCCCCCCCCTCCTCCACTCTTCCCACACTTTTTCTTTTTCCTTTTTATATTTTACAGTTCTTTTTGTCACGTCATATATCATTCTTCGGCTGATAAAAAGAATTAAAAAAAAAAAAAAATATTAGTTATTTCTACTGAGGCAGGAGAAAATTAATCTTTGTGAATCAGTGTCTCGAGCTTGACACCAGGAGACTGCATTGACTCTTTGTCCCATAGGAACTAATAGGAGATGCTTAACGGGTAAAAAGCCACAGAGAATAAAGCACACGTGCATTACTTACATCAGGTGAAATTTCAATCATTTAAAATCGGATCGCATCAAGCGTTGTTTCAGACATACGCAGTAACTGATCACACATGATGTTTTTGGTTGGGACTGAAAGATTTAAGAGAACAATATCTAGAAACAAAGCATGTAGGACCACCGTTTACCTGGCTGCCATCTTCCATTTGCCACCAGAAATACCGTAAGTACTCCCACAGTTGAACGCCAGCCATCCCCACCTGCAGAAACCATAGAAAGATTGAATAATATAATCCAAGCGAGATATTTAAAGCCTTCAACAGCAACGACAAGAACGGACAAAATACTACTGAACAGTAATTAATCAAGTAACAGAAAGTTTATTGAAGTAACGGCTCTGCGTTGACGTGTGGTCAAGTAAAAGTTAAAGTAAAGGACCGTTTTCTATGCCTTTCATCGTATTGGGCATATCGGGCTAGACCTGTTTTTTCTAAATCAATCGGCGGGTGGGGTGGTCTACATCACGCCAAATGCCTTTACTTCCCAGGACTATACCTAGTACTCACTCAAGGCTTAGACGACCTCGGAGCTTCTTCGGGACCCGAACCCACTACCTTCTCAACCCGACATGTTGTAGCAGGAGTAAACTACAAATAAAGACTGTTAATATATAAAGTAGTGGTTTGCTACCCTGTATATTTCCCGCTTCCACATTGAAAGATAAAAAAAAAACCACTGCCCCCAACATAAGTGTCGTAAAAGGCGATTAGCTAGGGAAAGTTGGCAGGAGACCGAGTTTCTTTCAGGCAGACCGTGATGAGAGCGACGTTCAGCAGAGGACCTGCTACATGATGATGATGATGAGATGCAGGATTATTCTATTTCTCTTAAACCGTCGTCGTTGTTCGTTGTGATGAACATATCTTTAAATATTAACAGTTTATAACTGTTACAAATTGAGGGTAAAACGCCACATTTTACTTAATATATTTTTTGGCAAGCAAAAAATTGGTACTTTGTGTTTACAAAATGTCTAAAATCTCATGCCGTTAACATCGTTTTTTTTTTCCTTTTTTTTTTCTAAACTAACTAATTTAATTCAGGTCACACGATAAAAGTTATTTTTTAGCTACACTCGAGTTTCTGACCTCTAGACGCTCACACTCACAAACAAGAACCAATAATAGACACAATAGACCCATATTCTGAACTGGAAATTCCCGATGGTTCGGCTACTCAGTAATAACATTAAAAGTTTGCCGATAACATGGCGTGATGTTGTGCTAATGTTATCCTCCTGGTATTGACTTTACTAATTGAACTGTTGACATGGTCCAGCGTTCATGGCCATAAACCAGATCTGCAAGCATTAAATGTTGTCAGAAGTCGACGGTTGGTTTACTGGTTCAAGCTTTAATAGACTGAGATAGGCAATCTGGGTTTAATGGGTTTGTGAGTAGCTTTCGCTCTGGGGTAGTGAAGGATCCGTTTTCTAGCATTAAGCTATGTAATGGGAATTGCGGCCATGATAACATATTCTAATTGTAAAGGATATTCTTAACGGGGACAGGTCTGGCTAGTCATTCTCGCCATCGCTATGGGCTGTAATTCCCATATCTCGAGACATCACAACACGACACTGTGTCGTCTAGATAGATGGAAAGGTGTCAAAAGAAGTATTATTTGGCGAAAGGTTGTAACCTTATCTTGTCTGGCGAATGGTTCTAGTCTTATTTTGTTTGGCGAATTGTTCTAGCCTTATCTTGTTTGGCGAATGGTTCTAGCCTTATTTTGTTTGGCGAATGGTTCTAGCCTTATATTGTTTGGGGAATTGTTCTAGCCTTATCTTGTTTGGCGAATGGTTCTAGCCTTATATTGTTTGTGGAATTGTTCTAGCCTTATCTTGTTTGGGGAATGGTTCTAGCCTTATTTTGTTTGGCGAATGGTTCTAGCCTTATCTTGTTTGGCGAATGGTTCTAGCCTTATTTTGTTTGGCGAATGGTTCTAGCCTTATATTGTTTGGGGAATTGTTCTAGCCTTATCTTGTTTGGGGAATGGTTCTAGCCTTATTTTGTTTGGCGAATGGTTCTAGCCTTATCTTGTTTGGCGAATGGTTCTAGCCCAATCTGTTTGGCGAATGGTTCTAGCCTTATCTTATTTGGCGAATGGTTATAGCATTTTCGTGTTTGGCGAATGGTTCTAGCCTTATCTTGTTTGGCGAATGGTTCTAGCCTTATTTTGTTTGGCGAATGGTTCTAGCCTTATTTTGTTTGACGAATGGTTCTAGCCTTATTTTGTTTGGCGAATGGTTCTAGCCTTATCTTGTTTTAGGAATGGTTCTAGCCTTATTTTGTTTGGCGAATGGTGCTAGCCTTATCTTATCTGGCGAATGGTTCTAGCCTTATCTTGTTTGGCGAATGGTTCTAGCCTTATCTTGTTTGGCGAATGGTTTTAGCCTTATCTTATCTGGCGAATGGTTCTAGCCTTATATTATCTGGCGAATGGTTCTAGCCTCATCATCTACCCAATATAAAGCGACAGGTGATGAGGTCAGCATCATGTCGACTGAATCGGTTTCGTAAAGCCTATCTCAGAACGATGTCGACAGTCAAATGGTAGGACATGATTCCAAACACTGCGGTTCTCAGTAAGGCATCCCTGCCTAGTTTACACACAACAGTGAAGAAACAACAGATTTGCTGGGCTGGGCAGGTGGATCACTTGCCAGATCATTGGCTCCCAAAGAAAACATCTTATGAGGAACTCGATAGTGGAATGAGATCACTAGCTGGTTAAAAACAAATTGCCGCAAGGACACTTTCAAAACTGGTCTTTCGGTCTGGACGCCAGTTCACATTTTCCTAAGCATACTTTGTGAGTCCATTGCAATTACATTATGTTGGGTTTTGCTCCTCTGTAGCACTGAACAGGAAGAATGTCAAAACAAGCAACATTATTAGGAGTATCACAAGACTAACAGAACTGCATGACACAACATGTTGTGGCAGGCCCCTCGCAGAGCATAATTTCAGTCACGACCAAATAGATACACTCTCGACTCTTTTTCCTTGGATTTCTGTTTTCAAAATGGCGGCAAGCGGCTGTGTTATTTTTCGAGGGCTGTGATTTCTCTCTGATTTTTCGGTGGTCATTACCAACTCCTCCTTTACTGCTGCGGGTATTGAGGGAGATTTTGGGTTCTGCTTCTTGATTTTCCAGATGCCCCAGCCATAGACACATCGTGCTGTTGTAGAGTTTATCTGATGTTATCTTTCCGCATTGTTTTTAGTTTACCGCCTGCTCCACAACCCTTCTCTCTCTTCGTGTGTGCCTTAAATGGTATGACGTCAGAAGTCATTCTCTCAAAGTGGGCAAACCCGTTTTATTGCGGTATTCGTATGTAATTTAGAATTGGTTCCCTGTGAATATTTCTTTAACATGCGCCATTTCTGACTTTTACTATTTTGACATTCCTGCAGCCTTGATATGACATCTCGATTCCATGGCTACTAATTTCTTTTTCAGTTTTCTGTTTGTTTTATGATTGACCGTGTCTGGCACTAGTGTCATAGGTTGGGAATGAGTATGTACTGTACATTTCTTTCTACTGGTACAGAAAGTGGAAGAATTTGTTTATTAAGCAGTTGCAAAATCAGTGTGTTGAAAATATGTTATTCTTACCATAAAATGAAGAGCCCAAGCAAGGCCCCTGTAGGAGATCCCATCTGGTGATCATCTTCTGGAGTGAATCTTTTGGCTCGGGGTTTGATAATAATTGTAGCAATTAGAGAGGTAGCCCCGCCTACCAAGTGCACAGGCCCGTCTCCAGCGACATCAACCACGCCCAGTTTGTTAAGCCAACCATGCTTCGACCACACCCAATGGGCGGGGAAACAGAAGACGAAGGTGTTGAAGAAGGAGAAAACGATGTAAGCAAGGTACCTTGTCCTTTCAGCTATAGCGCCTGTAAATGAACGAATGAATTTACACGTCAGATCAAAATCTCAGAAAATGTTCTAAACATTAAATAAAATGACTGTAGAAAGGGTGAGAGCTGAGCGTCTAGGAAGAAACACACATAATACTAACTGATGGCAACAACGATCCTGAGACCCCATGCTATAATTGTAGAAGATTGTCCCTTACCCAGGTGGGTTCTGCTTTTAAAGCTCGCCAACGCCATGGGCTGTGAGTCCCATGCCTCTCCTAGCACAATAAGAAGAAACTCCACAGGGGAGCATGTACAGCAGGAGTCTACCACTCATCAGTAGAAGTAATCTCTCGTCGACAAATGTTTCGGCCCACGAGCTCCTAGACATTTTCAGAGAGTGGGCCCATCTGAGTTCATGAAGCTCAGGGTTGATTTTCTCCTGCTGCAAGTATTACCAGATGTTCTCTGACAGGAACAAAACGAAACTGGTGACTTTGCAAACGGTACTGTGAGATTCGAAGTGTATTTACATAGTCCCTGCGGTAGCATAATTAAAGCAGTCAGCATACATGGACGACCAAGTGGCAAGCTTAAGTTTGGTTGATCGGACACATGTTAGACTTTATTGGCAGATGGCAAAGGGACACCGACAGACACAATATAACACGCTGTCGTCTAGAAAGATGCAAAGGCGATAACTCATATTTCCTTTTACCATGGACCCCTCATATGACCCCAGTCGTATATTTCTGACAAAGTGTCACTTAATGGCGGTATGTCCAATGTCACATCGACCCATTTACAAAATGAAGAAGTGGAAAGAGATGAAAAATCATAAAATAAGAATAAAAATAAAGAGGAAGAACGAGGAAGGGGTAAATAGGATGATTAGTATAAGGAGGTGGAAAAGGAGATGAAGAATGTCTTGTAGAACTCAACTTGTTTCCCCTTTTTAACTGCCCCAGTTTTTTAACTACATGTAGACATACACAGTTTACAAAATGTATTTGATTTAAACCTAGCTGGGTTAAAAGCTAATACCGATGAAAACAATATACTTTAGTAGTCATTAACGAGTCAAACGCAGACGTTAGAATATAACATCAGAAAATCAATGGAATGTCGCACTGGCATACTTTAAACAGACCTTATATTTGCACCAAATTGAAAGTTCTAAACGCAGTGAACTGAAAAGACCTTTACTGCGCGAGTACAAATGCAGTAATGTATCGTAGTATTTTTACGAAGTGCGTGAGCACAGCAATAGCTGGGCTATTTTGAAAATTACAACCCATTAAGATTGTTAGAAAACAGACATAATTCCCGCATTATGTGAGCTCATTGCTTTTAAGACCACGGCGAAACGACTTGTGAACTATATGTTCTAATTTAGAGTAAAGTATATTTAAGGATTGTTTGTGTTTGATACAATTACAGATTCAGGTGATTGCCATGTTATGTTGACTGTACTTGTCGTTTATTATGTTCTTTATTGGATACTCACATGTTGTTGTTATTGTTGGCCATGTAATTGTCAAGTTATAGTGTCGTTCTACATGGTTCATCTTGTCCGTTATCTGGTATTCATACGTCACTGGTACTGTCAACCATGTTATAGCCATGCTATTTTTATCGTCTACACAGTTTATGAGGTCCTCTCCTTTCATTACTATTGTTTACTAATCTAGTGATGTTGTGGTTTTAGTAGCGAAAAGGTCAAACCGTTTCCCTCGCTATCGGAAAGTGGTGTGTTCGTCTCACGGCAGTGTCGTTTGGTTTACGGGTTTAATTATTACGAAGACCTGCAGGGGCTCGTAGCCGAATGTTACCGAGCTCGTGCTTTGTGTAGCGCTCTCTGAAGGTGACTGACCGTTCTGTAGAGAGAGACCAGCCATGTAGGATAACAGCCACTGCACTGAGCTAGATCCTCTCATCGCTTACCCATTATCTTGCAATGATTCTCTTAGCTCTCTTCGTCGCGATCTTCTCATGAACATAACTGCACAGATAATTAAACAGTACCACTCGATTGTCAGCAACAATTTTGTTATTGAGTCAACAGTTTTTAAAAAGTTCGTTTTCACACGAATTTGTATGCTTTCTGTCAGATTCAGTATTTACTGGACCATCGATGGCCTCGAGATTTATTTGCTACGATGAGCCTCCATATTTGCAATGATTCTTGTAGCTCTCTTTACTGCAATCTTCTCAGGCACACAATAGTACAGATAATTGAACATCTCGTTCAAATAAGCTTTGGAACACAGGTGATCGGTACAATACAGTTTATTCCGTCCAAGTTATATTTCTTTGCCAGTGTATCTAAGGTAAACTGTCATGGGCTACCGACATCGACATCTTGTAGCATTGTAAATCATCGTTCATACAAGACGACGCTTCACTGCTCTCACACGTAACGAGAAACTGATCATCCTTAATCATTCCAAGCTTAAATAATATTTCACCCCCTCGTCTTCTTGAACATTCGACGCTTGTAATTTGTGTTTTTTTTTTCTCCTAGAGCATTGCTTCCGCCAATTACCCCTTTTCCTAACAAATTCCTCTTATTCGATTCCATTCATCCTAGCTCAAGCACATAATTTATGTTTAGTATCTAACTTCATTTATAATGCGAACATTATTTCAACTGGATCACCAACTAAATGATGCAGTCAGTCAAACTAAACCTTGACCGTTAGAGGGCAAGGCAAAGGTCATATTAATATATTATGACCTCTTAATATATTATGACCTCCTATAATTTGTGTGTCCAATACAATAGCAAATGGTAAATGCATTTTCTAAATCAAACAATTTTGTTGAAACAGACAAGCCCAAACCTGAGACAATTGTTGTTGCTGTGGTGGCGAAAGAGCTTTGAAAGACAAAACGCGAGAACTCCTCTCCCATGACTGAATCTTCAGGATCAATGAAGAACTTGCCGATCCCGCAGAAACCGTTGGTGCCGCTGCCGTCTCCAAAGCTGAAACCGTATCCCAGCATCCAGTAGGAGATCCCACCGAATATGACGTCTGCAACATTCTTCGCCATGATGTTGACTTCATTTTTGGAACTAACTGAACCACTTTCCAACAGGCCAAACCCTGAAAGAGAAAACATGAATAAAAGTATTCCTTTCTCACTTCTATGTTCTTCACCCTCACCCCTACCCATCCACCATTTTCGGTCAACTCACACGAAGCAGCCGATCTTTGGTATCTTCTGTTGCTTACTCTTTGTCTTCCAGTATTGTCTCTTCTTCCTCTTCTCAACTTCTCCCCGACTTTAGGCTTCCTTAATTGTCTCTTTCTTTTGTCTTGTGGGTTCCAGTGTAAAATCATTTGAGTTAAATCGGATTTTCTAAAACTACATTCTATACAGAGGCAACTTTCTGCCTAGTGGTTTATGGAATGGGTCTAGTTCTCCCATATTTATATCTAGTCGACATCAGAACCGTGCTGGTCGGTGAAAGAAAGTCACTCTTCTATGCGTACAGTGTTTGTCCCAAGTTATTTTAGTGGTGTTAACAATAAAAGAGGTGAGAGACTGGGTGATGCTGCCTTATTTAAAGATGGCTAGCCGTTTAGGTCGCCCGATATTGTTAATGCCATTAGAGATATAGTACGATCGGAGGATTAAAGGAGCAAAGTGTTCAGACATCTGCTGAAAATGCGAGAATTGGGAGTAAAGGTTGTCACAGCCAGGCACTAAAGGTATAACAAACGTTCAAGAAGTCTTGTCAACCAGCGTGGGACTGGCGCTATGAGCCACAGAATGCTCATGTATATTGGGAAGGGACAATCTGAGCAAGCATGAATGTGTCCGAGGTGTCATTAGGATAACCTAACTCATTACACATAATCACTTCTATGCTGAAAATAAAACCTGGACCAATGTCCTGGCAGGCCATCGAATTAACTACACAATCGCGCTTTTTGAAAGCACCATATAATGCCGGTTTGGTGGGAAACAAACAATGCAGAAAGACTGGCTGGTTTTGCACCACTTGGTGATGAACGGATGTATGACAGGCTAGATGTTGTAAGGGTCCCTTGAGAGTAGGTGAACAGTACAGAGGCGCAATAGATTATGTAGTCTTGGGGAAAGCGGTACTGCAAAGAGTGATCAGGAGTGCTGGCCGACGCTCAACGCTCGAAGGAAGGACGAGAGGATATACAGTCAGAATAATACTTGTGCAACTGCAACTAGTACTCTGCTCTTGCTGCTGGAGATGGGGCGGAACGTTTATGGGAATGTCCTTAGTGCAGTGGTATTGATTCTTTATTCAATATTCAAGATCGTACCAGGTTTCCCTACTTGACTGCATGGTAAATATACCGAAAGAGTCGGTGAGAATCCAGGCTGCCCTACCTAACAGCATGGTAAATACACCGAAAGAGCTGGCGAGAATCCAGGTTGTCCTACCTGACTGCATGGTAAATATAATGAAAGAGCCGGCGAGGATCGAGGTTGACCTACCTGACTGCATGGTAAATATAATAAAAGAGCTAGTGAGGATCCTGGTTGACCTACCTGACTGCATGGTAAATATAATGAATGAGCTAGTGAGGATCCAGGTGGCATCATCCCAGCTGGCTGCGTCCCGGGCCTCAAACATGGACCGTTTAGGTGCGTGGTCAAAGGCCATAGTCACTGGCGAACTGGACATCGTCGTGTTATTTGTATAAGTGGATGGTGTTGTGTTGTCTTGCATCGTTCTGTGGAGAGAGGGTGTTGAATCAGTCAATAGATGATACGTGCAAGGTCTGACAATTAGATAATGAGACTAATTCCATAAAAAAATTAAAATAACCAACAGTTGAAGATATAACTCTGTATCTGATTAAAAGTAAACCCTTTGTGAATTGATACAACAAATGGCACGATTTAACAAAAACTGGAACGACCTCTGTATTCTTCTGTTGTTATGGCCCTTAAAGTCGATGTTAAGGCCCTTTGGATGTCATCAATATCGTTAAAGAAGCGTCCTTTCAATCGTTACTTTAATTTTGGGAACAGAAAAAAAATCACACGGTGACGAATCTGGGGAATAGGGTGGAAGGCTGAAAACATACACTTGTTTTGGGGCCAAAATTCTTGCTTTGATGATTCGCTTGGGTACTCAACCCGCTGATATCTTGGTCATCAGACAACGAATATGGTACAAACCAGCAAGCAACTTTTTTCTTGCCAAAATCTTGCACTAAAATGAAATAAATGGTCTCTCTGTTAACTAGGGCTGTACCGAAAATTCGCTTCGTATTCGCCTCGGGGCCGAATAGTGGACCCAATAACTATTCGGTATTCGGCCGAATAGTTGCGGTCGGGCCGAATACGAATAGTGGTTACCTTACAACCGTTTCTGGACTGGTGGAAAAAAAACATCAAGACTTCCCAACTTGGTTTATGTGTGAAGCGTTAACTTTGTGCACCACCTACGAGCGTACCAAGTGCCCCTTTATTTCCATCTTGCATGTGTTGCGAGTATGGTGTTTTTAGGTGTGTTGCTGTTGAAACAAAATGCAACACTTAAAAATGTAAGAGGGGCAGAAAAGCAAGTGTTCTAGTGTTGTCGGCTTGATTTCTTTGAGTGGAGTGTCCTCTTCGTTGATTCTTTGAAGTAACGGGAGTTCGTCATCATTTATGGGTGTCGTATCTGTTCTTTCGTCGTCTCGTGGAAACGGCAGCGGCTGAATGTTTTGATCGACGTTCGGTTTCTTGATTGTCTTTGTTGTTTGATCTTCTGGCGTAGGCCGCCCGGCGTCTGGTTTCGTGAGCTCGCGGGGGGCTGGGCGAATTGTAAGGACGGCATTGTTTTCTTCGTCGGCGTTATTTTTGTTTTTTGATGTTTTGATGTTTTTGCCTTGCGGGTTTTCATTTTGACTCTCTGTATTTGTCGTATTTTCCTGTTTAGTACAGCTGGAAATACCTTCAGTGAGACAAAAAGCTGGCCTAATGCTGACAACATGGAACGAAGGTTTTTCATGGAGGTGTGTCAGCCCACGAACTAATACGTGCTGCAGGAGATCGCAGATTGTGGCGAGGCATAATCGCCCATGCCAGCCGGCAAAGCACATGATGATGATGATTCACTATTCGTATTCGTATTCGTATTCGGCCGAATAGTTGGTCCAGCTATTCGTATTCGGCCGAATAGTGAAAATCACTATTCGGCACAGCCCTACTGTTAACACCAGACTCATCTGCCATCATCCGCACATTAAAACAGTGATCTTCTTGCATCCGTTCTGATTTTTGCAATTAGTTCATCATTACGAACATAAATTTTGGCGTCCAGGTCTAGATGCATTATTAATCATTTCCACATCACTTTTGAATCGCGAATACCACCTGAAAATGTGTCCAGGAGATAAACAATTATCCCCATAAACGTGTTGCTTCAATCGAACTGTTTCAATGGTGCTTTTTCTGAGTTTTAAAAATAATGTAATGTTAGCTTTTTGTTCCGTGCTGATTACGTAACAGAACACCTCTGACTAGGTAGGTCAAAAAAATGGCGGCTTGTTTATTGTCTACTTATCTGGCGAAGACGAAAATTTGCCAGTTCATAGATAAACCTTGCTCTTTAGATTCCATGCTTTGCTTCATAGATGGCATTTTCGTCTTGGCCATAATAAAATCTGTCTGATTACCTACTTGTCGGACCTTGTAGATTAGTTGCTCTGGTATGGGGTGAGGGTGGTTGGGGGGGGGGGGGTGCCATGTTACGTATTACGTAAACAAATCATTAGACTAAGTTGTATTGTCCATCGGCTTTGTCTTCTTTCTTTCTTTCTTTCTTTCTTTCTTTCTTTCTTTCTTTCTTTCTTTCTTTCTTTCTTTCTTTCTTTCTTTCTTTCTTTCTTTCTTTCTTTCTTTCTTTCTTTCTTTCTTTCTTTCTTTCTTTCTTTCTTTCTTTCTTTCTTTCTTTCTTTCTTTCTTTCTTTCTTTCTTTCTTTCTTTCTTTCTTTCTTTCTTTCGTTCTTTCTTTCTTTCTTTCTTTCTTTCTTTCTTTCTTTCTTTCTTTCTTTCTTCTGCATGGCCTTCTGTCTGTTGGTCTGTCTGTAAATTTATGTGTAAGTCTGCCTGTAGATCTATCTTTGTGATTCTTTATCAGTGAGCTATACATCTGCCAAGTTATTATGTCTGTTAACAGGATCCATTTATTTATACCACATGCCTCAGTTAAAGTGCACCTAGTTTAGAAAGGCATTACAGAAGTCTTACGTTAAGCACGCGTTCAAACCCTTGCTAAAAACGCACAGAAGGGAAACCTTAAACGAAACGTGACTCCGTCGAGCACAATTTCCCCATAAAAATATTACTGTTTTATATACACACGCAGCTGTTTCCAACATTTTATTTCACCGGACTGTTTGTTGTTTTCCGGTTACAAATGTTTAAAAAGAAACAATCCTACTAAAGTACGACATTAAAATAAATGGGATTAGTCTAAAGAGGTCGATCCGTTTACGTACCTATGATAATACGAGATGAAGGACGTTTTAAAGATGAGTAATACAGAATAGCTGAAGATCAAACGGCATTTCAACTAACCAAAATTTCATGCAATTTATCTTTATTCAGCTTAGGTGAAGTGCAAAAGTTTCAAGAGTTATACAGACCTGCTTGGTAATTCCAAGCTGCCGGGATCAATTCTAGCTGCAGGCTGTTTGGCAACAGACTGCCTTGCTTTGGTTTTGACAGCTGTGTCGAGAGCTGACCGTTTTGTAACAGTTGCAAAGAAGTGAACGTAAAATTCCCTAGGTGGGTTGGCTCTACAACGTCCTGTAAAACGACACACAACTTACTTCCAGAAAGATCTGTTCTGATGTACGGAGAGCAATAACAAACAGCCTGTTGGTGAAAACAACTATGTGATGGATGCTGGGATATGTTTTATAGACACATGTTGAGAACGCTATTCACCAATACGAAGTGCACTGGAGATGCCACGAAAGAAATTATCTCATGTTAGGAATTGATTATCACAATCTAACACGTCAATAAGAATTGACTGTGCGCGTCGTATGAACAGGAAATTAAAGTACTTCGTGACAACAAGAAGAAAGTGGGGTGGGATAGATAGTATAGAAAGATAGGAGGGGTAGATAGAATAGAGATAGATAGATAGAAGACAGATAGGATAGATAATAGATTAGAGATCGATAGATAGATGGATGGATGGATGGATGGATGGATGGATGGATGGATGGATGGACAGACGACCGAGCAACGGACGGACCGACGACGGACGAACGAGACGGACAGACAGACAGACCTACCGACAGACACACAGACGACAGACTAACCGACTGACAACAGACAGGCAGAAAGATAGACAGATAGATTAGATAGATAGATTAGATAGATAGATAGATAGATAGATAGATAGATAGATAGATAGATAGATAGATAGATAGATAGATAGATAGATAGATAGATAGATAGATAGATAGATAGATAGATAGATAGATAGATAGATAGATAGATAGATAGATAGATAGATAGATAGACAGACAGACAGACAGACAGACAGACAGACAGACAGACAGACAGACAGACAGACAGACAGACAGACAGACAGACAGACAGACAGACAGACAGACAGACAGACAGACAGACAGACAGACAGACAGACAGACAGACAGACAGACAGACAGACAGACAGACAGACAGATCGATAGATACTGAAGGAATGATGAACAATGTATACAGAATCTGTGAAGACATTTAAAATTTAGCAGAACTCAGAAGATGATTATTAGCATTGCTGCTGTTAAAAGATCACAAATCAAAATCCTAAGAGAAAGATACCAAAGGTAGGAGACATTTCAACAGTAATGATGTAATAGAACAAATAGCCTTCTCTGGAACAGAACAAGCATTCATGAAGAGAGGCATTACGTCAGAGAAAGATACTTGTGCTAAAGCTTAAGTAACTGGGGCTTCTACATAAAATAAAACCATTAAATTGCAGACTAAAAGCATACACTTAAGCAGAAAACTGCACATGATTGGCCGCGTTGGGGGCCACTTAGCCACTCGCATGTTATCTAGAGGAGGATAGGGTCGGCTTTTTTAACATTTTGAAATTTTTTAAGGGTTAAGCTCCCCTCCCCCACCCCCAATAAAAATTGGAGCCCTAGAATACAACGCCCTTGTATGGAGAACAATATTACACAAGCAACAATAACTTCTTAAAAACATCAGATAAACGACAAGAGAAATAATCACTAGCTGCTCTAGGTCAGAAAACTAACTTGTCAGTTGTCCTTAAAACTTCTGCTTTCTGATCTAAAGCAGCCAGTGACTATATTTCTTGCTGACTGCAATTTGAAGGTTTGACAGCACAGCATCCTTCATCACGAATACCAGCCCAATAGGACACATCTCAAAGACCTCGCCCGACCTCCGAGCAAGTTAGGACACACTAACGGCTAAGAGCTGCAGTGGAGCAGTGGTTAGACGCTTACCTAACGAAACGAAATTTTTGCTTTCGAATCCTCACAGTCTTGGATATTTTCCAAACTTATTTACTTATCAGATATATGATACTGATCACAATGACAATTTAAGCTAAAATCGGTACTAGGAAAATCATGGGAAGTAAAGACAGCCAGTATGATGTGACTACATTATCGTGCCGACTGGTAGTACAGAGTATCGTGCCGACTGGTCAGTACAGAGTATCGCGCCGACTGGTCAGTGCAG